AGCGATTATTGCAAAATGCGTCCCCTAATTTGCTCCCTGGAACGACCTCATCTTCCATCCTACCTTCTGTTCCCACAGGGGGGGGGAGACGTGGTAGACACCTTACATCAATGAACAGAAATAGCTGTTTCACAGCTGCCAACTAGGTTACAGGGCAAGTGAAACGGAAAAAAGCAACAATTAGAAATTCAGTTCCACGGCAGTATACCTTCACCTCTCTGCAGCGGCTAAAAACGCCCCCTCCGCCTCCCTTGCAGGTTCCAAGGGTACCTAGGCCCGCTGTGTAAGGATAAGGTGGCATGTACACTGCGTCCCATAATGATAGTTCCACGCCATAAATCTCACAAAATCCCGCTCCTACACGTTTTCAAAAAGCCTCTAGATAGAAAATGTGGTAATTACCAGTGCCAATTTGCATGCCAACACCGAACAACTAACTTTCCAGAGCAACTTTTTTTTTCTTTATTTTTTGAAAATTTGTCACTCTGACAACGTCCCAAAATGGTAGTTATATCGCATGTTTCCCCACTGCGTCTTTTTTCGTGTCAAACTGTCTCATCAGTATGACTTTTCACCTTTTCTAGGTTATGGCGAGAAGGGCATTTATCACCGAGGACTTTGAAAAAAAGCAATCATTGCAAAGAAGACTCAAGGAGTGTCGGACCGTCAAATCGCAGGGATTTGGGCCGCAGTCAAAAAATTGCTTTGGAAAGTTGGTTTCTCGGTGTTGGCATGCAAATTGGCACTGGTAATTACCACATTTTCTATCTAGAGGCTTTTTTGAAAACGTCGTGTAGGGCGGGATTTTGTGAGATTCATGGGTGAACTACCATTATGGAACGCAGTGTAGCATCACAAGTTAAGGGCGAAGAAGGTGTACACGATGTCAATGACAAGTCATTTGCCTCTTAACAGGCAACGCAGCAGACCGTGCACCCCTGCTACCATCATTGTTGCTTGAATTGTGGATGAAAACGCTGTTAAAATAAATCTTTACCCACCGTTCTCATAATGCGGTGTTGTACACAGAAGATCCCTACAGATCGTTTTCTCCATCTCCAACTCGAAATCGAAAAAATGGCTCAGTAAATCATTCTCTGCAGATGGTAGTCCATCTGCAAATGAACCACTCTAAACGTCGCCGAACGCAGTTGATCTCACTAAATTGAGAAAGAGAAGGGCTACCTTTCTTTCCTATGAACTTAAATTTGTCGCTTGCCATTCGATATAACCTCAAATGGGAGGCGAAATCGTCGACGACGTGGCGTGTAACGAATGGGACCCAATCCACTTGGCGCATGCTGAAA